AAATAGTTATGTATGAATTTATAAAAACCTCTAATTAAAAAAAATTTTAAAAATATATATATATATATATATATGTATTAAAAAAAATCTTATTGACCACAAACTATTGAATGGTAGTGTACACTCTATTAGAAAAGAGTTAACACAGATTTAACACATGGAAAACTTATTAACAACAGCAGAAAATGTTTTGATGACAGTATCATCTCTTTTATATGATGCATTCTTCTGTATGACAATAAATTATAGATTTCCATCCCAAACATGTATCAGTCATTTCACATTTCTCATTGTTTTTATCTTATTTCTATCTCTCTTTTTTTTTCTGTAGTCTGATATCTATTTCATCTCGTCAGCACCTATAAACTCTGCCTCTAACTGTAGCTCCAGAGACACTAGTTCCCAGAGTTCCCCTCAGACTCCCACCGGCTACGAGATGCCCGTCTTCCCTTCGCCGCTTGGAGATGGTAGGCTTCTGCTCTTGATAGAACATGTACATATTCTACCTTACCGATTAAACTGAATTCCCATGCTATTGAACTTAATATAGAAGTTAAACTTGGGTATTTGCGTTCAGGATTTGAGTGTGTGATATTGGACGATTTTGCCTAAGTATATGATGTTGTATTTCTTCTGTTTAAGGGTAGCGAGTTTCGTATGTGAGTCATCAACCTGTGTTTGTGTATTGTCTTACAATGCATTGGTCTTTTAATCTGTGTGTGGGTTGGGTTGATATATTGCTCTTTTCCATCCCTGGTCCAGATTGTATTCGGATCCCCTACGGCACCAAGCTATCCCTCTACATATCTAAAGACTCTGAAGGTACTGCAGGCACTTCGTTTGCCTACATTTCCCATGCTGCCTCACTAATGCACGTTACCACGGAGACTCACCCTGTCTATTATTCAATTAACAGACGCATGTAGACGGTGTTGAGTAAAATATTCAGCTAACATAATGTGTCCCTTCCTTCTTGCAGTCTCACAGAAAGAATGACAAAAAACAGACAGCGAGAAATGGTGGCATGAGGAGTCTATGGGAAAAAGATGAACAGTGGAGAGAAACAGAAGTGAATGAGATAGAGAGGTGGGAGAGGAAATCAATAGACAGACTGAGACAGATACATAGAGACAGAGACGACTGAACAGACGCTTTAGGGAAATGGGACACATTTGCTGGCGCATGAGTTACAGATCACTGTGTCACCATGGATACTTTTGTCTGAGCCCCTCTTCATACATAAACACACAGTCTGGACGGCCCTCCAGAGCTTAGCACTTTTGTCTGCACACGAGGCCTGAAGAGGGCCGTCAAGGGGCTGTGACAAAATCCACATCCTGGTGTTTTAAAACATCCAGCCAACTGTCTGTGGCTGCCATTTTTGCACCATGGGAAATAACATACCATTACTCATCTCAACATAATGTTCACAATGCAACAAGACTGTGTTATACACAAATTTGTAACACTTTACTATAAGGCTCAATTTGTTAACCTTAGTTAATTCATTTGGTATCGTGAACTAAAAATGAACCGTACTTTTACAGCATTTATTAATCTGTTCTTTCTACATATACATTTCTAACATTTCAAGCTGTATAAACTAACATTTAGTGTTTTTTCCACAAACATTAATTAATAATTTACTATGTTATATTTATAAATTAACATTAACCTGGATTAATAAATGCTGTAAATGCATAATGCATTAGCTAAATTTAGCTAATTTCACCTTATTGTAAAGTGTTACCATTTCTTGTCGTATATTTTTATTTTATTTCAATCTGTATATAACAAACTTGATTATTATT